TGTGCCGGTCTCGTGGACCGGCAGCGTTCGGTGCTGTCGCGAGTCGTGGCTTGAGAGGGGCGGACGTCGTGTCACCGCGGCCGAAGGATGTGAGGTCAATCGGACGGTGCGGATGTGCGTGGAGTCGCGATGCTCGGTGGGCTCGGGGACCCCGCGATGCCTGGAGGAGAGGTGAGCTGATGGAGGACCGGTGGTGGCCGAGACCTGGCGTCTGGCCAACCCGGTTGACCGACTCAGACCGGCCGGTTCGTGGCACCACCTCGTCAGAGGGATCATACTGGAGGCGGATCTCAAAGCTGCGATGTCGGAGAAAAGAAGATCTAACATTGGTTTTTTGCGTGAGTTTTTCGAGCCTACCAGTAAATCAGTAATATGAGATGCATTCACCATATTTCATTTAACGTGATGCAGGACTGGTAGTTGAATTGTACCGTAATCATATGAGTAGAGCTGATGCTTTCCAGTGAATTTCACATAGTCTGGCTTTCCCAAAAGTTGTTCTCATCCAGGCACCAGTGGACTGCAGTTGTGACCTTTTGGAAAAGCTGGGCTATGTGAAATTCACTGGAAAACTCATATGATTGTGGGAAAATTTAACTACCAGTCCTGCATCACCTTAAACGAAATAGTGCGAAAACAACTCATATATATGATTTACTGGTGGTCTCGAAAACCTACTCATTCACGAAAAAAGTAATTTCGTCGATTGCCATAGCAAATATAAGTTTGTTTCATCGACAAACCCTACACATAATGTGATATGGAAAATGACTGAAATTCCTTGAAATTCACATTTGCCCTGTGATCCACTCGCACTCGTGGCAATGTGGCTTAGTCGTTAACTCATCGAGAGTATACATTGCACTATCACAGTTAAGGGTCCCTCTGGGGGTACGGATGAAACCTAAGCCGGGTCGAAATTGCAGTCACCCTCAGCATGGATGAGTATCAGCTTGGTGATAGTTTACTCATAGCATTGTGGGAAAATTCAACTATTTGTCCTTCATCACGTAAATAGAATGTATATATATCATGAAAAAAAAACATTTTTTTAGATTAGGCCTTCGAGACTACCAGCAGGCCTTGAATAAGAACTGTTGAAGTGATGAAGGACTGGTAGTTGAATTTTGCCACAATGATATGACTAGATCTCAAGTTTTCTTTGAAGTTCGCATAGCCTTGTTTCATAAAAAGTGTTCCCACCCAAACTGCACTCAAGCGCAGTTTCGACCCCGCCCAAAATGGTGGCATTAGCACCCACGGCGGTACTTAACCCAAAGTTGTGGTAGTGCAGCGTATAGTCTAGTCACTACGCCACACTTCCAAGAGTACCCTTGAATCGCAGGGCAGAAACACCATTCAAGGAAGACCATGTCGTTCCTAGGTCACGTACTGCAGCGTTGATGAAGCACAGTTCTATTTGCTGTAACAATCGACTACATTACTTATTTACGTTTATAAGTGAACTTTCGAGATTACAAGCAGATCTGAAATAAGAATTAGGTTGAGACATTTGTGTAAAAATTCAACTAAAATTCCTTTACCTCACTAAACGAAATAGAGTGAACACAGTTCTTATATAAGGAGAAAGAATTTTCCCCATTAAGCGCAAGATTTGCACTATTCAGCTCATGCTTTTGTGAATCAACACAGCCAAAAGAAGTTGGAATAATCATTTTGGCTCAATCAACCAGTCGCCAAATTTTTCCAACATTCCATATAGTCGAAATAATTTACTAACATTCGCCAGCGGACTGTGGCATTTTCCATCATTCACCAACATTCTCAAATAGTCGCTAACCGTTATCAACAGTTGCCAACCGAATTAGCCCCTGATGAGCTCATGTAAAGTATTCCTCGGCGCAATATCCACCCTGACATTTTCTCAGAGTCAGAAGCCATAATTTATGAAACGTCATCAAAATACTACATAAAAATGGATGGCTGGCTATAGGCCCACATACCTTTTACTCCTGATTTTTCCGTCTCCATGAGGCACCATATAAATTTATTGGATACGTCCTCCTACTTTCTGCAATTATTGCAAGTGTGCATGGAATGCTCATAAATTTGTTGACCAAATAAAGGGTTATTAATTGAAAATATGATTATCATACTATCAGTTAATCTTAAATAAGATTTATAGCAAGCCTAAATCGCATAAGGCGATGAAAAGCTTGATGAAAGAGTTGAATTTTTCAACAATCCTGTGAGTAAGGCCTACGATTTCAATGAATTTCACTTAACTTTACTTCCTAAATGTGGCGTGGTCGCGACTGGACGGCAGATTTAATCTATTCTTATCTGATACTATTAATACCATCAACAGGAATCACACCCAGTTGGGGCAGTGCATAAACTCGCCATTTTAACATTTGATTATGAGAAACTTAAAATATTAATCTTTCATCACCTGATGCAACCAAGACTGGCTTTACATCTTAATTAAATCATGGAATGATTTAGGAAATGAAAGGTTTACCAGCAAGTCGAAGGTTCCAGTGGGTTAATCTTATTTTGTATAAGGAATGAAAGATGAGCTGACCTTTGCATCATTTAACCTTGAGGCATGCGAGTTTGTATGAAAAATGTATCGATCGGTTAATCATAGGAAATAGAAGTGGGTTGACCTCGTCGCAATTTGGTCTTGTTGTCAGGGGGATTAGTAGAGCGCACCTTGTCCGAAGTCCTCTGCCATAGTAGCTATCATAATTCACAGCATCAGACCGTGGAATTGGTACATTCTCAGACGTTTCGCCGGCATCGTAGTCGGCATCATCAGTGAGCCTTGTTATTCTCCGCACCAAGCTACGAACTCATCAAAGAGAAAAGTGAAGTCAATCCCGAAAACGGTTACCCTATCACTGCTCTTTCTGTCATTGTCTATCTATCTACCCTTTACCCTCTAATCCCACTGCCGCCCTATCACAATCTCTCACCTATTTACATTCCACCCGTCAAAATGTGTGCTATTTGGGGGCAAATCTGGTGTGGCCTCATCACAATTCCTATCCACCCCGACCCCCTCTCTTCCGATCGGCTGATCCGACT